TAATTTGTTAAGGAACCCTCATTTCTTCTTATCATTCTTTTCATTAGTTTCTTTATAGATTTTACTCCATTATATTTTGTATTTACTAACTTCCATTATAACTCTATTTATCGTCTTAATTGTGCCTAACACTATTGTCTCAACTTGGTCCCAGCTGTATCAATCTGCTCAGTTTGTCACAGCAGAAAGTTTGCCTCCCACAATAACCAGCTTTATCTATAGCTTCTTCTTTTGTAATCTAACACAAACAAGGCCATTACCAATAAAACATAAGAGATAAATCTACAACAAGGAAAAGGGAGTAGTGGATCTGAATAGGGGTTTGATGTGAAATGGGTTATTATACAAGTGGGAAACAAAAGAGTAGAGAAGGGGGCAACTCCCCCCTTTCTTTATGCTTTCTTAGACCTGATTTTGTTTTGTTTCTTTTGTCTTGTTGTAGAGCTAGTACATTTTGAAGATGAGATCTTTTCAAATAGCTTAGGTAAAAGATAATCAGGGTTTCCAGGAATGCAACAATGCCCTCACTGAATTCATATTATCTTTCACACCTCTCTTCTCAAGATTGGAGGAAAAAAGTTTTACACTGGGTAGTAATTCATGATCTTGCATGTTTGCATACCAGCCTGCAGTGTGGTGAGTGATTCTGACTCTTCACTGTATTCACTGTCACCGATGTCATTGGTTGCCTTGACACGGAATTTGTAGGTGGTGAATGGCTTCAATCTGCAAATAGAATGCAAAGTTATCTGGTTTGGTTTTGGAAGAAAAAAAATTCCCACCTGTGTTTGCTGTCTTCTGCCTGCTAGCACTTACATTCTAACTTTTTTGTTTGTTTGTTTCAAGACCAGCAAATTCTTCCCAAGGTCTTTGGAAAAGCATTCTGGATGTAGCTGTGGGATTCGACATACCTAGTCCTGTTTCCAGACTTGAGAGTAAGTTATGAAAATAGACTGGGAAGCCACCCTTTAAACGGTGTCCTTGAGTTATGACCAGTTAGGACCAGACTTTCTGTTGCTAAGCAAAGTGATTAAATGAATCCCGCCTGATTTTTATGACCTTCTTGGCCACAGTTGTTAAGCAAATCACTGCCATTTTAAAGGGAATCAAATTGTCATTGAGCAAATTCGACTTTGCTTGTCGGAAGCTGGCTGGTGAAGGTCACAAGCGGCAATCCCATGACTCTGTGAGACTGCAGTCATGCTGGCTGCCAAGTGCTTGAATTCTGATCACATGACCATGGAAATGCCGAGACAGTTGTAAGTGTGAGGACCAGTCATATAAGTCGCTTTTTTTCAGTGCCATTGTGAATTTGAACAGTTGTTGAACAAATGGTTGTCAGTCAAGGATCACCTGTAAACAGTCTTGGATTATCTGGCTACCAACAATCTGACAAATTGGAACACTGAACAACTGTTTCCCTTTCTAAATAAATGCCTCTCGCATCGCACCAGTTCCTGCCTCACCTGCTCACAATGAAGGATGTGGTGTTGTGCTTCACCGATGCAGAATGCAGCATCCATTTCCCATCGGGGAGTTCCCGTGTTTGCACAGTGTAGTATCGGACAGGTGAGAGCCCATCACTGCCTGGCTCCCAGGACAGCAGCACATTCCTGGCCTTGACATCTTCCTGCAACACAATGGGCTTGCTGGGTGGTTGGGGACGGTCTGGGAGATAAGACAGAGACAAATCACTGAAAGCTGGTTTTGCATGGGATGAAAAAGAGACATGGCAATAATAGGAGTAGCCTGGCAATTATTTTCAGGTTGGTACAGTGCGCACAGGAATCCTGACCCTTTATTAATCTAAATATGTATTTTTTTCCCTTCTGTATTCCATCCCAAACATTATCTAATTGGTTTTGGGGTCTGGTATATTCACTGGTTTCCTATAAACCCTACTTTTCCATTTTAAAACGTTGCTTCTGTGCGATCGCAGATGGTTCGCCCATTCATCCAGTTTATAGTGATGCTTCAGACACCCCCTCCCCCTCCCTTTTTAAAAAAGCACTGTATATTAACTCTATGAAAACAGTTGGATCTGGATGACCATTCTGAAAACAGAGCATAGTTGACAAGGTTTGAGGATAAATAAATGAAAGGCACGGACTAATACTGGTAGTCCTTGACTTAAGACCACAATTCAGCCCAAAATTTCCATTGCTAAGCAAGATAGTTGTTAAATGAGCTTTGACCCATTTTATGACCTTTCTTGTCACAATTATTAAGTGAATCATTGCAATTGTTAAGTGAATCACTGCAACTGTTAAATGAATCATTGCAATTGTTAAGTGAATCACTGCAGTGTTACATTAGTTAACACGGTTAAGTGAACCTGGCTTTCCCATTGACTTTGCTTGTCAGAAGGTTGCAAAAAGTGATCACATGATCCCAGGACAGTGCAACCATCATAAATACATGCCTGTTGCCAAGTGGATAAATTTTGATCACGTGACCATGGGGATGCTGCAACGGTCATAAGTATGAAAGCGAATTTAAAGTCACTTTTTCCCAGTGCCATTCTAACTTCAAATGGTGACTAAATGAATTGTTGTAAGCTGAGGACTACCTGTAACAATTTGGGTGGTTTTTTTTTTAAGTTCATAAAGAGATTCACAAAGAATCCTTTGCTTATAAGGTACAGCAGAGTTTGTTCAACTGCTTAAGTAAGAAGAATGAGAAAATATTAACAAAATTAATGTGGAGAAATGGTGATCAGTTCAATCATCATTAACTATACTACAGGCCTATTAAACAAATGCCTTTGATATATGGCCATTGATATTCTATAAAGCTTCTACTCCTACTGCAATTCTTAAAAGATGAGCACCTGGGGCATATTTTTCTTGGAGTCTGAAAGAAAATGAGTTTTCCTTGAAACGGGCTGATTATTAGAAGAAAGATGGATGGGTTTTCAACAATAATTGATAATTTATTGCACAATGCAGTTGTCTGCAACTGTCTTAATAAGAATCTGATTTGTAATATACAAATTACCCATTCATATTTTTTATCATCTGCTTAATGGATTGTTATCAGTGCCGAACCCAGAGAATTTTGGTTTGCTCTCTTGTGGAATATTAAAATTTGCTTGCATCTGCTACTTAAGAGACAGCCTTTCACGTAGATTTCCTGAAGGCCTAACCTTCTAATTTGTCAGGAAATCCTTAAAAGCAGAAACATTTGGCAGAATTAAATTGAAGGCTTAAAGCCCAATCGGACGTCAGTCTCGACTTATTGAAGATAACCTCCAAAGGCTGAAACTTTAAAGTGAGGGGTGGGGGGATGAAATGTTGCTTCTTTCTCTCTTTTCATCTTGAGCTATGCCTTCCTTCCTTCCTTGAGGTATTTATCTGTTCAGTAGCACCTCCCTTTTCTCAAGGTGTCCTCCATGTACTGAGATGGAAGTTATACATACCGGTAGCTCTTCTCTCTTGGAAGAAAACAAATAGTGATTTATGGGAAGTGGTATGAGGAAAGGAAATGTGGAGTACAAAATGGCTGAAAATGAAAGGATTAATTCCAATACCAGTTTGCTAAATCAGACATACACTGCCTTAAGATAATTTTTCATACAGTCCTTGTGAGGCTAGGCAGAAGCTACCACACCTGAAGATTTTAAAAAAGCATGTAAGCAGGGCAGATAAAAGCTAGGAATCTTCTTTGAAAGAGTCCTTCAAAGGATAGATAAGAAGGAACCAGGTTGTTAAAGAAACAAAGGGGGGGGGGGGAAGTTCCCCAAACCGGACAAAAGAAGATGGGCCTGAGCACATGTGAAAACCTTCCCCAAGTCCCTTCAACAGCTACCAAACTTATTCAATAAGGCAAGAATAGTTGCTAATCTTGTGAATCAATAAAGCAAGGATTTTTGGAGACAAAAGGGGTCCCGAACCCTGCCCACTCTTTGAGTCTTCTTTGAATCCACACTTGGCAGCTTTTGTCCCTCTGACTAGTAACTGACAGCCTAATTGAGAAGGATGCTCGTGTGTGTGTGTGTGTGTGGTCTTCTTTGAATCCACACTTGGCAGCTTTTGTCCCTCTGACTAGTAACTGACAGCCTAATTGAGAAGGATGCTCGTGTGTGTGTGTGTGTGTGTGTGNGTGCTTGCTCAACTTACCAGCCTCGCCGACAAAGACCTCTTGGGGGGAACTGGTGGGCCCTTCCCCCACAGCATTGTAGACACTCATGCGGATCTCGTAGCGACGGTGTTTGTTCAGATCTGCAAAGGTGGAGAAAATCGGTGGTCATATAGGATAAGGGAGGAGAGGTCACTTGGGCTGCCTCCAAAGTAGCAGCACATGCTTTCTTGTTAGCTTCCTTTCATTTTTCCTCCCACTATTCCTTGCTTGAGAACCTGGCTACTTCCTGTCCAATTTCTTTAGATTGGAAAATATATAGGCAGTATATTGTTTTGGACTTAAAAAAAAAAAAAAGCAAGCAGACACCAAACAAAGCAAGAACAAGATCTCTGGTTAATTGCACAGTTTCTAGTATGTGAACTTTAAAGTAAAAAAAAGAAGATGTCCATTTAGCTGTGAGTAAAGGTGCTGTTTTAAACAATGAGAATAGAACTTAAATTGTTTAAGGTCGCTTCCTATCACCTCCATTCATTTCCATGATTCCTGGACCTCAGTTTCTCATCTCTTTTTTTCAATACCCTAAAGAGGAGGTTGCTCTCCTTTCTATTATTTCTCCATTGCATCCTGCTGCAATTATGATACAGCAGGGATGTGAAATGGAAATCCACTTTCCTGGATATGCTACTATAAACTATTGATCAGCGTGGACTACATTTGTTCCGTTACTTGAATGGAGTTCTTAAATTGGGTTGGGTTATGGTTATTTCATGTAGTATACTCAAGAAAAACCTGCAGAAATTACCCTTACTAATGTTTGGATTTGGTTAAGAGAGGGATAATAGAGTTCATTGCAAATCACACCTATTACCACTATTTTAGAAAAATGTGACCCTAGTGTATGGCATATTTTCTTCCACACATGCTGATTGCAATCTGTATCATCCCCAGTAATCCTGTTGTGAGCAAGATGGGGTTGCTTCACACACACACAAACACACGAGCCCAGAGACACAAGCAGAGACAGGAGTATAGGCCAAAGAGGGAGCTCCCACTTACTGTCCAGCTCGTATTGGGTCAGGGAGGCCTCGCTCAGGTTCTGCATGGCGTATGTTGCTGTGGGATGGCAGGTGGTCAGAAGGGGAAAGCAGTGCAAGGTTAGCTACATGGGAAGAAACATCTGGACAACACAAGCTAAACAAAGCAACATCATTACTGTGCAAGAAATGAAGCAGTCTGGGAGAAATTCCCAGTCCAAGCGAAGGAAGTTGAAGGGGTCTCGTGAGAGGAGGGGGAAAGGGGAGAGGGAGGGAAAGATGACAAATAACTAGAAAGAGAAGAACAATAAAATTTCAAAGGACAAACAAAATTTCCCTGCATCTATTATATGCATTAGGATACAAGCGTCCCATCATTCATTATTCCATAAAAGCCTCTTCTGGCAACCAAGACCTTGAGCTGCTAAGGACTGACACACTGACACAAAGCTTGCAACCCCAAGAGGACCAAACACAGCAACGCTCTGATGCAACAAACAACTGCTCCAGATTTCGGGGGAGGTTTTTATGTTGGATGTTTCTGCTTGTGCATTTTTGTAAATTTATAATAGAGGACCTGGGTATATTTTCATTAGTAAGACACTGGAATGATTGATCTGTAACATCTTGCAAGTTTTTTTACCTAGCTATTTTATTAACAAGTATGATACATAACAGGGGTGGGATTCAGCCGGTTCGTACCGGTTCAGGTGAACCGGGTGTTAATTTTGCATCCAGTTTGCCGAACTAGTTGTTGCAAGGACTGTCTGGCCCTGCTCACCCAGACTTGCCCCTCCCAGGAGTTTCCATCATGCCAGGTAAGTGCAGGACCCGTGCAGAGGCTCTGGGAGGGTGAAAAATGGGCCTCCTGGAAGTCTGGAAACGGGCCCATTTCCAGCCTCTTGGAAGCTCAGAGAAGCCTCTGGAGCCTCTGGAGGGTGAAAAACAGGCCTACCAGAAGTTCCAGAAACATGTTTTTGGCCTCCGGAGGGCCTCCAGAGCCTGGGAGAGGCCATTTTTGCCCTCCAGGAGACTCGGGTAAGCCTCTGGAGCCTCCTGAGAGCAAAAAATGGGCCTTCCGGAAGTCTGGAAATCAGCTCATTTCTGGCTNCTCTGGTGTATAGCCATGCCGGCCACATGACAATGGAAGCATCTTCACACAATGTTGGCTCCCTCAGCTAGGGAATGGAGATTAGCACCATTCCCTAGAGTCAGACAGGACTATACAGAGGAAATCTTTACCTATTTTTTTTAAATGAAAAGAATGCCTTCAGAGAACTTGAGACAAATGAAATGAAAAAAAATGTATTTTAAAGCAGAGGATCTCACTAACAGTAGGCGTATTCCTTGTATTACTGGAAAATATCAAGATTAAGATTATTCATTCTTCCACTAGACAAAACTGTGCAAATAATTAAATCTTAGTCTTGATTTACAGGGTGAACAGAATGATACACAGAATTCTGAAGTCATTTTTGGATGATATCCAGATTTCCACAGAGAAGTTGGACCTTCCATGAAGTCATGGTACCAAAGAGACGGCAACAAACCAGTTCCATGGCAACACTACTTGGCACCCTTGTGGTTTCTTGGGAAACAAGAAAGCAACTTTCCTCAAAGGTCACTTCTAAACTGTCTCCTTGTTCCCTGATTGGACACACAAAGCCAGATGATACTTATCTAAGATTGGCAAGAGAACACTTCTGGCTCCATAATGTACTTTCAACTGCCCAACTCGGAGACAATAGATCAAGGGGGCCTTTTAGCAGTTGTGATTTAGGAGAAGGCCAAACATTGCTTTGAACGAAGGCCATTTCTATCACAGCTTTAATTACATATAATAAGGTTACAAAACCAATATGTTTTCTGAATATGAATTCTTAGCCAAATGCCAGCTACTGGGTTGTGAGACGTTCGGAACCAGGCCGCAGAAGTGGCGGGCGAGCGCACACACACATGTGCATCTCCACTTGTGTGAACTGCACACACACTTGCCAGTCATTTACGCAGAATCATCACCTCTCCCCCTCCCCTACTGGTTTGAAAAGCGGGAAAGGATGGGGAACTCTAGTGTATGCATTTAATCCCTGAATGATACTATAGTATATTATAATATTTAATATGTAATATTTTATATAGGAGTTAAATTCTAACTCTTATAGCATAGGGATTATTAAATTTCATCCCACTGTTATGTTATATTACTAATTATAAAGGTTAAACATATTGGTTTTGGTCACTATTAAAATAAAATACATTTTATTCAGGCCTTTGGTGTGGGAGAGTGACACCGCTCATTTCATTGCCCTTGCTCTCTTCTATCTTTTTAAATCAACTTTATTATTTCTTTGTTAGATTATTGTGAGCTGCACAAATTTGGACAGAATACAAGTTAAGCAAACAAGTAAATAAATAATATACAGCCGTCCTGTCCTGTTAGCTGTAGAATTATTTGAGATAGTCCCAAATATTAGGAATGCATTGATATTGTACAGGAGGCTTTATAAAATGACCATGCCTATACTATGTGAGCTGGAAAGGCTGTCTTTTATACTTTGGGGATACAAACAGAAACAAGAATGACATTCCCCCAGGAGCAAAAAAAATCCCTGATAATAGGCACAAAGTCCCAGTGTTCTATTTGTAACTCAACAGCATCACTTAGAGGTAAAAAGTGGAACTGTTTTTTTTTTCTTTTGTTCATTTGCACTCTAGCTGTGGTGCTGTCTCAGACTTGCTCACATTGTGAAATAGAGGTAGGGCAAGCTGTAATATGCATATATATTTATTATTTATGTTCTGCCATTCCTTCAATAGCATAAAGTGCTGTACATAGTGAACTCCCCATTTATTTTTCTCCACAAAAGCTCTTTGGCGGTTGATTGGTTGATCGGAGGCACGGGATAAAATACCACCAATATGCGGACGATACGCAACTGTATCTGTCCGCCCCGTGCCAACTCAATGAA